GAGAGAGAGAGAGAGAGAGAGAGAGAGAGAGAGAACAGGATGTGGGTTATGCTTCTATTTCTGTAAGACCATCTTGGAGGTCGGGCCTTCGACGTCCATCTCCGATAAAAACATGCCTGGTCAGAGGAGAGGCTTGAAAACAGCATTAAAAAGTCAAGGTTAGAAACTAACTGTTGTGGGATTCGAACCAGGGTTATATGAACCTAAGTATTAATACCAGCTAAGCTATCGGTGCGCATTGAGAAAGAAATAGGGAGGGGGGGGGCAGACAGACAGACAGAGTACGAAAGAGAGGTGGGAGAGGAGGGACTAGTGACAGGTGACGTACAAGGGGTTTTGGTCGTGGGTGGGGGAAACAAGACTGTCCAGTTGCGATTTCCATGCCATGGCTAAATAAGATGACAAAGCAAGGTACATGTCTTTGTACTACATGAGAGGAATATTACAATTCCATGAAAACCATAAATATTTATAAAATCAATGTTTTAGGGATTTCAAAGAGTAGATGTGAAAGTAATTAGCGGTGGGTGGTTGGTGGTGAAGGGAAAAAGGTCGGGTGGGGGCAGGATTTCAGCAAAGCAGACAACGCTCCGGTTGTAGTAATGTGTCACTGACATTTGGGATTAATGGAGGCGATTTATGACGCATCGAAAAGCCTTCAAGTATGTATTTTCCCCTCATTGCGCCTGGCGTGCGTGGAGATTGATGCGCGCACACACAAAAGCACTCGCAAGAGATCATTCTTGCGCACACTAGGAAAAACGGTTTGTCCTCCTTCTTGTTCGTATTGCCTTGTGCATACCTATGTGTTTCAGCGTACAGGTTCACCATTGCGGTGTCACGTAGGTGGACTCTAGGCAGGCTATAGACCTTAATTTTGAGCCGTACTTTTTCGACCATTCTGCCCCTCCCTCCCCCCAATATTCGGCCCTCGGCTTCTTTCTCCAAAAGTAGCGAAGTAACTCAACTGTACGGCTTGCGATAAGAGTAATGAGCACTGAGTATAACATAGTCGTATGTTACTCGGCCATTACAGGGCTACACCTGAGGAGGATGGGAGCTAAGTGCCTCATCCAAGGATTAACTTTCTTGAGTGTGCTGAACGTTTCCCAAATAAAATTGTGTATCTTTACTGTCAGCCTTAGCTGTGTCCCTAAATGCCCTTATTAATAACTCAATCTTCAGAAAGGCACGTGTGATTCAGTATACCAAAAACAGGTTCACAGACAATAAACAAGTAAGAGTAACCAAAGTAAAATAAACTTCTGTGAAATGAGATGCCTAAGATAAACTTTGAACATTACAGGAGGACGGGGTAACAAACGAGATTGTCAGTGAACAGGTTGGCCCGGCTCCCTGAATGGAACACATAGATTTTTAAAGAACAAAATGGTTTTGACATAATATTATTATGTCAAGACTATTATCAGACAGGGTAGCAGAGAGCGTATACAACTAGAGATCAGCTGGATTCAAAGGAAGAGGCAGGCTCAGGGAAAGATGGATAGAAGTAGAAGGGGTCAGGGAAACATTAGACAACAATATAACCATGCAACCGGCCATACAACAAACAAGAGGAAGACGTTTGATTCTCTTTCTGACACCGTAAGTAACAGAGGCCGGAAAAAGCAAGTAAAGTAAGAACATGCACTCAAGGCTTTCGGGAAAATTACAGTGCGGTCAAACACTCGAGGTGCAACTTATCCCCAAATATCTCTTTAACGGATGAACCAGTGTCACCCATACTTTGCACAGCAATTTGTATTAATTTGTCTTAACGTAATCATATTTTTCACAACAATTGGGGCTATATTAAAAAACTTTTCTTCATAAATGTATGTAAAATACTATAAATCTCCATCAAGCGGAGAATGAGATTGTTCGCAGCAGTTCCTGCTTCTTATACACATTAATTTGCATAGGCATACGGCTTGCGTCACGGCTCACCAATGACACTTTTCAGTGACAAAATTAGTTACAAGAAATTAATTTATGAATCTGTAGAAACCACCCATTTGGATTTATAAAACTAGTTTTATTGCGGAACCTTCTAGAATACAGCGAACATGTGCTTACAAAAGTATTGATCTGTTAAGACAAATTGATATGTCATAGTGCAAAAGCCATGCTGACAATAAATGTACTGACAGTAGTTAGAGACAGTTTTGCTGATAACGTTACTAATAAAATACATGTACATGTACTAAATGCACTGTAGTCTTACCCTTCAATAAAGTAAGCAGCTGAGAAGCCACCTTGGCAACGAGGGGCTATCTCTTTGGGCTCAGTAGACAATTTACATGTAGTAAAATGACCGGCTTGGAACGCGGTGTTCGCGCGAAGTCGTTCTTCGCGACAGGAGGCGGTGACAACGAAGTTGCGAGCCACCGTTAATAAAACAGAGATGAAGGAAAGAGAGTCTGGAGTGCATCAACTTCTAAGTTTTCAGTGAACCCAATCGTCTTTGCTTGGGCGCCTTCAAATTAGCAAAGTACTTTTTCAATGTTGACAATATAAAAAGTATACTAATTAAGATTTACTAGAAACTGAATGGAAATAATTAGAATCAATAAATCTCTTGTACGCTTTCCAGCCGATAAAAAGTGACCGCTTCCGCCGGTCTTGACAAGTTAACGAACCGCCCTTGATGGTCATTTAACATTAAATTTTAATTGACAGTCAGGGATGCTGGATTCTGAATATTTGGCGGAGTGACTCGATCGAAGCGTTGAGTGTCAATGGTTGTAGATAGTTACAGGCTGATGCTTGATGGATTTCGAAACGTAATTCTAGGATCTGTATAATATGTTAATTAGTTTTGTAACTTGCAGTGTCTACGAATGTTACCACTTTGCAGTTGAAGGTTTCCTTTTAGAACGTTGGTTACGACCCACTTTTCTGCAGGGCACAACTACGTACCAAATTATGTCATTCACCAAAAGCCACGTATAACTGAAACGTAACAAACATTAGCAAGGAATGCCTAAATGTAGAACTATTGAAATGTAGCAGTACAAAACCTGGGATCCCAAAATAAATGATTATTTAAAAAGAAAGATAAAGATAATAAAAACTTGAATACTTCAGCTTTGAATTAAAGGTTTTTATGAGAAACAAAGGATTAAATAAATATAGTTTCTACTTAAAATCGACAGAATCTGTATTACGGTTACAGTCCTTCGGCTATTTCTAAACATTTGACGAAAGAAAACGTTTCTGCAAGTTTCTTCAGAAATCAAAATGTGCGAGTGAATAGACCAAATTGTATATACAGCTGCTGGCCTTAATATACTGAGCAAATAGAAGATGACAATGTTCTAGAGTAAAACAAAAGTTATTGAAATAGACACTTATGCTGCAACATGAGTGTAATTGCAACAAATTATTTATTATTATCGGCTGCTTACCTATTATGAAAATGCTTATTAGACCTTATTTTCATTGAGTTTTCACAGGAATGATCTAGTTTGGAATGTTTGTCTATTCTAATACTTTGCTTTAAAACAAAGCACAAAGTGAGCACTTAATGGATCCACAGCAACGTTTCATGCGATTATTGGTGCGAGTAATATTGTACTGTCCTGTGATTATCGCTTTTTTATTAGGTGAGTGGTGGGGAAATATACTAAAAAGAGACATGACGAATGTATGCAATTTTGATATCTTTGTCTATTTCATAAGATAATCAAATTATGATAATTATGAACGTAGGCTAAGAGAATATGTACGAAAAGGTTGTGTGGTATGAAGATTCATGTGCAAAAAAGTCGACGTAGAATTGAATAACTGAGATACCAGTTTAGAAAACAGGTAAAGAACCAGATTAAAGAAATAATTTAATTTGATTTTTTAAATTTAATTGCTTTTCTGCGGCTATAGGCTACATTGGGGGTATTTTACTACATGTAGGTGAGTGTGTCTTGTCTTCTCTCTCCTGCCTTCAGAAAAAATAGAAAGGAAGAATAGGTGCAGAGCTTATCCATTCAGATGTGCATTTGCGTGATTCCGGTTAAAACCATCTCTGGCTTCTTCCAAGTATATTTTTCACACATGACATCTCTCATAAATTTTGATAAAATGAGCAAACAATCAAATTTGGAAGAGGATGAAAGGGTGGAGCTTCCAAGCGATGAGACCACCCACCTTGTCATGCAGATTCTCATGTTTGACGTCACGCCCACCATCTCAAGCCTTGGTTTAGTCGGTAACGTCTGTAGTATCATTGTCTTACAGAAACACGGACTGAGCAAAAGCTCCAACATTCAGCTATTTTGCTTGGCGATCTGAGATATCGTCTATCTCATATCTTTCAACAGTTTCCCCAACTCCTGTATGAATGATATCTGGTTTTCTGTTCGCTTGGGATTACGATTAGAAAACTGCTATTTTTTTATTCGCGTTCTACATTTCATTTCTTTTTCTAGACAACATGTTCTGCTTGACGTCTCTCACTATCCCCGTGCTGATCAGCGCTGAAAGACTTTTGACAGTCTTCTTTCCTATGAAGATTGTTACTCCTGCAAGAACGTGGACCACTGAGGGTCTCGTCTGCTCATTCTGGACAGGGACATTTATTTACTCTTTATTTTGGTTCCAATTCAAATACATTTTTTAAATCCAAAACTGATTATATCCATGGGACTAATCGAACGATCGGATCTCTCTCTCTCTCTCTCTCTCTCTCTCTCTCTCT